CTGGAGGAGGAGTGGTCTATTTCGAAATAAGTGCTGTGTAGACACTCCCTATTTTGAAATAAGCTATTTCAAAAAAAGATACACAATTGATGTAGCAATTTGCATAGCTTATTTCAAGTTAAACCCTGCAGTGTAGATGCATCCACAGAGACGAAGGGCAAGATAGGGGAACATTGCACAAACCACTTACTTTCATTAGATTTCTACCATCTTGGCCAAATCATTCATGAGAATTCAACATGATGGAGCCTAAATGTAGTCCTAGCTCAGCCTCCAACCCTTTCATAAGCCACATTCAGATGTGAATGCTACCTGCATAACCATCTCTAGTAAGTATTAAATCTCTGCTTAGAGTCTAGATCAAGTGATTTTTGGCTGTCTAGCCCTGCTCCATGACAGGCCTTGCTGTCTCCTTTCTAATTAAACGGTCAACAGTTCCCAAAGGTCTTTACACAGTTGTGGTTGTCACCATAAATGAGTCCCAACAACTATTATTTGTAAAAATGCAATGGACCTGAGAGACAGTGTCACATTCTCGAGCATGCTCCAATTACCTTGCCATTTATATTACAGAAAGATCAGTTTATTAGAGCTACTGATAAAAGGAGGACATTTTTTCCAAGCATCAGAGAAATATTTGCAACAAGAAAGGAGGAAAAGTACAGCTGTCCTTGAAGGAACTACTAGACTTAATCTTGAAGTAGTAAACCTATAAAAATCTCAGAGTAGGAGGACAAATGAGTTTCAGTATTTTATTCCTTTAGGGGCTATATGCTGTACTAAAAATATGTTGGGGTACATGGATTTGAGTCTGGTGATAAAAAAAAGCCAAGAATTGGTACCAGTTGTGCAACTGGGTGATAGTAAAGAGTATCGTGAGGACTTTCACCCCGGGTAAAATGTTTAGACTAGTAAGAGTACAATTTTGTCATAAAGGTCACAGATTGCAACTTTACAGGCCTTCATGACTTTGGCAGAGGCTGGAACAGGTCCCCCCAGAGCAGCAGACCATGGGGCCAGAGAAGTGGCCCCCCTGTGGCACCTCCCCAACAAAGCTCCCTCTGTTAGTCTCTCTCCACATAACGCAAGAACCAAAGGTCACCCAATGAAATTAAGAGGCAGCAGGTTTAAAACAAGTAAAATGATGACCTTCTTCACAACAGGCACAGTTAGCCTGTGGAACTCATTGCCAGGAGATGTTGTAAAGGGCAGAAGTATAACTGGGCTCAGAAAAGAATTATATAAGTTCATGATGGACAGACCCTCAATGGCTATTAGCCAGGATGATCATGGAGACAATCTCATACTTCAGGTGCCCCTAAGCCTCTAACTGCCAAAAGTGGGGACTGGACAACAGGGGCTGGTTTACCTGTAATTGCCCTGTTCTATTCATCCTTCTGAAGCACCCTGGGCTCAGATCACGGTCAAGAGATAGGACACGCAGGTAGATACACCATTGGTCTGACCCAGTAGGACCATTCTTATGTTCTTAGATGACTCATCTGATTTCTACTGTGTCACTTAAAGGTGACTTGGACGATTCTCTGGGAAACAATATAAGGAACTATCTTGCACTGGCTAGTGAGGGGAAGAGAATCTAATGGGACAACTTTTGTTATTACCTGCCCCCCTTCACACACACACACGAATCTGCACCTGTGTTTCAAGATCACGTTGAAACTATAGGCCCCTCCAAACTCTGTGCTGGTTTATTTCAAGAAGCCTAAAGGGAAAGCGAGGCTGAGACAGCACACTAAAAATATATAGGAGGAAATAGAAATTAATTTCCTTTTTGGCACCCCAATGTTGCTGAATAGGGACAAAGCCTATTTGCTACAGCAATCATGATCCACAAAGCTAGCTGAAAATAGTTCACATTGATTGAACTACTGTGGGTTTTGAATTCTTGCTAGATGGGCATGAAAAACCACTCCACACCTTCCTCCGATGAGTTGCAGAGTCCATTGCATTTGGACACAAATACAGCTTAACATTTTAGCTTTTGCTCCAGCTGGCTGCTGGAGGCCTCTCCATCAAGCATGGTGACAAGAGGATTGTAGGTGGGATTTGTGCACCTTCTGGGCTCTGTGCCTCGCTGAGTCCTTTCTGTGATGACTGCCAAAATGCAGAGCTAATTAAGCAGGCATTTGCTAGTTACTTTTCCTGCAAGCTAAGGGCAAAGTACTTCAGGCTGGGGCACTGAGGTCAGGAACTTTGGTTCAGTGTGTGAGGGTACACCTCCAGGTTTAACTTCAAAGGAATTATTTTCATAATTGTTTTTATTCTAGCAAAAGATATATTACCTATTCCATATGGAAATGTCTCGACCATGTTGTTGAGAAAGGCTGTTCAGCCCAATTTACTAGTATTTTGAGAGAAGGGAGACAGGGAGGTTATTCCAGTGGAGAGTTCTTAGCACCATCTTGTGGACTGAAGTGGCAATTGCAACTCAAGTTATTAACGGGGAGCCACGTCAAGATTTTGGTAAGTGGTCAAGGGCCGCAATTCTATGGAGGGAGTACAGGGTCTGGAACAGTGGGCAGGGTGTACAAGGGAGCTGGGATAAAGAACTGGGGTGCAGCGGGGGTGGTGGTGTCAGAGGGAGTTTGGGTGAAGGGGTTATGATCTGGGGCAGGGGCTTAGGGTGAAGGATCAAGGAGGGGGTATGGGTGCAGGAGAAGATTCTGACCTGGGGGAGGGGTATAAGAGGAGGTGGAGGGTCTAGGGGGGAGTTGTGACCTGGAGGAGGTGGAAAAGACGGGATACAGAGGATTTGGAAGGTGGCCTGGGATAGGAAGTTTGTGGGGGAGAGGAAGGGATGTGTCAGAGACAGGCTCTGGGTGGGATGCGCTTACCTAGGCAGCTCCCAGCCAGCAGCCCTGCAGGACCCTGAGATAGGCTTATAGCCTATCTGCTGGGCTGGCTGCTCCACGTGCCTCTGCTCCAGCGCAAGGAGAAGGGAGGGAGGCAGCTTCACTCACTGCCTCTACCTCCAGCAAAATTTCTCAGCTCCCATTGCAGGGGTCAGCAACCTTTCCAAAGTGGCGTGCCAAGATTTAACCTTCCAGCCCTGAGCCATGCTGCTCTCTCCACTGCATGCCCCATGGACCACTTGGGTCAATGCAAACCTTTCCATGGACTACCCGTTGCTAAAGGAAACTCATTGCTAATTACATAATTATGCTAGTGCTGCAGCTAGGGAGAACGGTTTAATTTAAATTATTAAACAGATTAAGTGTTTTAACTTTCTCATGTTAGTTTATAAAACTTCATTTTAAATAAAGTAAAACATTATGTGCAACACAAAAGGTTTCAATGTTTTCTTTAATTTATGGCAAGGGTGGGGAACCTTTTTTGTGTTGGGGGGTCACTGACCCACAGAAAAGGCAGTTGGGGACCACACAAGTGAAAAGCAAAAAAACCAAACAAAAACAAAAAAACCCAGAAAACTTCCTCCCAAACCCCCAGCCCTCACTGATGTGGCCCCAACTGAGACACGTCACTCCTTAGGTGCTCCAGCCCCCATAAGGTGAAAGGAAGGGACAGGGAGGACTGAGGTTCAGGCTTCCCATAGGCCAGATTTACTTTTCTGGTGTTCCAGAGTTAGCCACAAAATCCACTATCACCTTAAGGCTCTGGGGCGGGAACAAAAACGAGGGGTTCAATCTGCAGGACAGGGCTGCCAGTGAGTGGGATAGGGATGCAGGATCTGAGTGGGAGGTGGGATGGGGTGAGGAGGGGAGGGTCTGGGAGTTTGGCAGCAAGAGAGGAAGTTTGGAGGCAGGAGGGGATTGGGGGAGTAACGCAGAGAAGGTGAGAGGGTAAGAATGCAGCCAAATAGCTAGTTGGGGAGGGAGGCAAAGAAGTGGGGAGTAAAGAAAAGTGCAGATTCTGCAAAGTAAAATTGTATCCCCCCCCCACATCTTCCCTTAGGCCCCATGGTGTGTTCCCCTCCAGCCTGATCCCCTGCATCATCACATGCTCCTCAGTGCAACCCTTGCCCCTGCATCTTCCTGCACTCCCCACGCCCCATATCCCTGTGCCCCCAGCCAACTTGCCAGCAGAACAGCAGTGCTGGGACACGCAGGCTCCTAGGGTGAGGAGAGGCGGCAGGGACAGAGTCTCTTCCCTACCCAGCCCTTTGCCTGCAGCTCCAGGTCTGGGGAAGGCAGAGCCTGGGGTGCCCAGGGCTGGCTCCAGCCTGGCCAGGTACAGTGGGGCACTGGGGAAGGAGCTCCCTGCCCCTGCACACAGCTTGCGGGGAGCAGCGCAGTGCAGTCTGGGCCTCGGCGCACCATGTGTGACTGGTCATCCAGCCTCACCCCGTCCCGAAGCAGAGGCTGTAGCTGGGGGTTAACCCCTTTGGTCCTGGAAGCTGTACGCCCAGGCTGAGCAGCCCCAGAGTCATGCACGCACCTCTCCTATTCCTCACCACAGCAGGAAGCCGGAGCTGTTGCTCCTGCCTGCAGCTGCTGGCTGAAGCTGGAGCCGCAGCACAAGCTCCACTCTGCACACAGGGTGGGGGAAAAGAGGGCAGAGCCCCCACTCCACATGCCAGTGGAAAGAAAAAAAAAATCAGCTCACGTGCTGCTTGTGGCACGCGTGCTGGGGGTTGCCAACCCCCTCCTATTGGCTGGAAACTGGCCAATAGGAACTGAAGGATTTTGCTAGGGCACAGGGGCAATGCACAAAGCTTCCCCGTTCCTCCCCAGCATTCAGAGCAATTAGTAGCCAGCGGTGTGAGCTGCTGTTTAGTAAGAGTGCTGGCAAAGTGGCCGTGGGCAGGATCCAGTAAGTTGGCGGGCCACCTCCGGCCCACTAACTGCCTCTTGCCCGCCCTTGCAATAAGCTAAACATGCTAAGAACTCTTACACCCAGTTTACACTGTTGGTAATACCAGTGTAGCTACGCCACTGATATAAAAAATACCTTCAGTTTTTCTAGTGCTCCCACAGCGTGTCAGTGAATGTTACCAGAGAATACAGTGTGTCTGAATTAGATTTTCCAATATTACACATTTTATTAACTTAATATTCCAGCACACAATATCAGATTCATAGTTTATTCCCAATACATTTATTTATATATGTGTCTTAAATTATAATCTGATTTGGGGGTTTTTATGCACAATGCAAGTTTATAGGCATGTCCAACCTGTAAGAAAACTACAGGTTATGCAGCATGTTTTTAGCCACATTACACCTTTCCGCCCATGCAGAAAGAGGGCAGAGATGGCCAAAGCTCTAAGGAAGCTTCAGCAATGCAGATTAAGGACCTCATTTTTAGAAGTACTCAGCAATTGTAAAAGTTAGGCCCTTTGAAATCAAACTTTGTTAGAGAGGAACTATTTTGTAGATCTTCACTTTTAGAGCTAATATTAATAGCAAAACTCATTGAAGAGTGACTTCTGCACTGTTCTGTGAAACAATCACACTTCCATCACCCACTGACCAAATATTTGCCCCGAGACACACCTGTACTACTGACACTCCCCCACCTCTTCAGATGCTCTGCTATTCTTTCTGTCCCATGGAAACTTTTTGACTTGCAGTGGCACAGCACTGAATGCAACTGTCAGACCCTTGAGTCAAGTCGGGAGGGGGTGTGTGCGCTCAGCAGGCACAGTTCACTGGGGAGGTATAACAAAAGAGGATCATTATTTCAAAAAGGAAAAACACCAAATTCCTGGGCTCTATCCTTGAAACCCTCCTCCATTTCTCATTAGATATTTGGGGATTAGAAAGGCCAGGCCAGTCTTTCCTTGAATACTTGCCAACTGTTAGTTTATTACTGCCAGCTGCTATTATTGGATGGATGGATGCATGGATATGATGACTGCTAAACTTAGCTCCTTGAATGGAGGAAGTTTCTGAATAAGTGGTTTTTGTGAGTGAGAGAGAGAGAGAGAGAGAGAGAGAGAGAGGTGCCCTATTTCAATATGAATATTGTAAAACTCTTGCTCTTTTCTCTCTGGTGAAATAATTCATTGGTACTAGGCAGCAGCTTTGCAGATTTCTGATACTTCTGTCCATGATGCTTGTGCCTCTGAAGTACAGCTACCTGTCATGATACACACTGACCTGAGGACCCTGGCTTTGCCTTCATTCCCATACAGCTCTCAGAAGGCTACACAGCTGTTGGTCACTAACAAGCTGGCTTGATTCAAATTGGAACCTAGGTGTGAAAGGTGATCACTAGTAGAGCTTCAGCCACCAATCACCAAACATGAACTAAGCCTTTCCTAAAAAGGTAACAAAAGCAAATAGCAGTATGGGGCGAGCTGGTCTCATTCCCAATCGATAAAAAAAGCTTCCAAACAACACTCCCATTTCAGTCCATTTCCGCAACTTGAAACAGCATCAAAGGGTATGGACAGAAAAAAAGGCAATGGATTTACATCAAGGTTACTCATCAATGGAGTTTTTCATCAAAGAACTGAAGAAAAGGGCAGAAATCCCCGGCACATGACCAGCGCAGATCTGCAACATTCGGACCAGCCGCTGAGCTGTGGCAACTCGGATGCCTTCAGACTGGAAGCAGAGGGAGAAAAACAAAAAAAACAAAGCCCATATGTTATTTAAAAATAAAGGGATGGAAAATAAAACCTAGTTGGTGCTGAGGCACAGGCAGGATACAAAGTTAAGTGGGACTCAGATCAACTGGACATAGAGGTTCCAAAAGCTGCTCACCTACTTCTTTAGGGCCAGTGGAAAGCCGGGGGCAGAGCATGGGTGTCAGGTGAAAGCCCAGCTGGAGAAGGCAAGCCCCAGCCGGGCCCCTTCTGGCTGAGGCCCTGCCCCTGGAGCCAAGCCCCGCTCACCCAGGTGATCCTTCCTGGCCACATTAGCTAGTTACTATCAACTGTGTAGCTATCAAGAAGTGGACTTTTGATCACTTTGCTTATCCCTGTACATAAGAAAGGCCACACTGGATCAGACCAATGATCCATCTAGCCCAGTATCCTGTCTACGGACAGTCAATGCCTGGTGCATCACAGGGAATGAACAGGACAGGTCAATTATCAGTGACCCACCCCTGTTGTCCACTCCCAGCTTCTAAAAACCGTCCAGAATATGCCCCTGACCATCCCAGCTAATAGCCATTGATGGACCTATCCTCCATGAACTTTTCTAGCTCTTTTTTTGAGCCCCGTTGCATTTTGGCTTTCACAGCATTCCCTAGCAATAAATTCCAGGGGTTGACTGTATAACATACACAATGAAGTATTTCTTCATATTTGAGCCCCGTTGCATTTTGGCTTTCACAGCATTCCCTAGCAATAAATTCCAGGAGTTGACTGTATAACATACACAAGGAAGTATTTCTTCATATTTTTAAAACTTGATGCCTATTAATTTCATTGGGTGACCGCAAGTGTTCCCTTAATTTCCCCATCCAGGTGCGGAATACTTTGTGGATGTGCACCACCAACAGAAAAAACATGCTGACAGTTTGGGGCAGCTGTGGCTGCTCTATGCTAATCAGCTGGGAATCATCTGAATCGCTCCTGAGTGACTGCCCAAGCACACAGCTTACAAGGAACACCGGTAATCCCCAGGTTTTTGTTTTATGTGAAAGAGTAATAACACTTCCCTAGTCACTTTCCTCCCTTCCTTTCATGATTTAGCTGATTGTATCTTTCTGTGCAAACACAAACTAAATAGAAATTGTTTAAATAAAAGCAAGAATAAGTTTCTAGAAGCACACTGAAACTGTACTACCTACACTTCAAGTGAGTGTGTGGGTTTGGTCTTTGCCTTCAAAACATGCATGCAGTATAGACTGGTAGGCTTAACTACACACCTTACCATGATTTATTGATCACATACCAGATATTGTTAGCTAACAGGAGGATTTACTGCCCCCCATCTCTCACCCACCCTCAGTAACAGAATTAAGCATTCTTACATCCAGCTCACAGAATATGACAGGGCTGCAGTAGAGGTTTCCCAGTTTCCGGACAGCATTCATCTCTACGCTGCAGTGATTCATTCTACCGACTTTACCAGAGAGAAAATAGGAAGGCATTAAGGAGAGTTTTGCAATATTCCACAGCCCATCCCCAGTGGAGGAGAGCACAGAGGAATGCTTAGTTCCATAAATGCTCCAAATCTAGCATACAGCAAGCATAGCCCTGGTCAGATCAAAACTCATTTGGGCAGTAACGAGTAGGTCAAACAGAATGGCATTGAGAGTGCCATGAAGAAAAGTCCACGGGAAGACGTTTTGTAATGCCATACAAATCAGCCTTGAAATTCATATCCAAGGGGATAAGGGCAGAAAAGAAATGTCTGATTGGAGGACTGAAGGCAAGGACCAAGTGAGGACAGAAATGCATTCTGAGCTGAGGAAAAAAGGAGATTCAACAGCATTTAAAGAAAAGTTTCTGCCACAAGCTGTTGGCTTGTTTTGTTAAAGGGGAAGCCACTCCAGGTATTGCAAGGACTGAAATAAAAAGTGATGAAACACCAGAAGGAAGAGGAGAAAGAAAAAAGTAGATACTTAGCCATACATACCACCTGTGATCAGGAAGCACACTTTCCCAAGGAAGAAGTTGGCATCCACATGTGGTAGTGAAGCTTCAACATTCCTAAGACTGATGGAAATGGAAAGAAAAAGCACCTCATATAATCCACTTAATCAGAGGACAGGCTAGTGCTAATCCTGTCACCAGCACACCAAGAAGCTAGAATAGCACAAAAGGAGAGACTTTTAAAGGCACAAATGGCAGATCAACACGCACCTGCTACTGAAAGTCAAAAGAAGTAAGGTGTAACTACCATTTAGGCCTTTGAAAGTCACTCCCCTTTATGCTTAGATACTAAAGATGGGTGCTAGAGAAGCCATGAGACAGACAGAAAAGAGAACACAATCTAAGAGTAAGGATACCATTCAAATGAATGCATAGCTTGGTGGAGGTTTTTAGAGGAGACTAAGGGAGCTAGGCATCCAAATCCACTGGGCATCTAATTCCTTTACAGATCTTTAAAAATCCCAGTCCTTGTATTTTATAGTGACTTTCACTGGGTTGTGACCTTTTGAAAATCTGTTTAAGTCCAGAATCAAGGGTCACAAATGAAGTAGCTTCCCCACCAATGAGGTTTTAGCCTCATTATAAAAATACAATGACGACTGGATTTCTCTATGTATCAGCACTGAGGTGAAGGGGTACAGCTGAGAGGGATGAAGGATAAGATGGGCAAAGAATAGTTTCTACCCAACATCATCACATTAGTCCTGCTGACCAATACAGACAGCTCCAATCCCAGAGGGATCTCATTAGCAAAGCCATCATACAGAGTATCTGCACACACCACTGACTCAGGTCTGACTTAGGATTGTTAAATTTTGATCAATCAGCCAATTGACTAGTCGATGGAAATTCCTAAGTGGAGCGCTCACTATCCTTTTGAAATGCCTCTCCTTTTGAAATGTACAAGAGCTGCCATGGCTCTTGTAAGTTTCAAAGGGCGAGAGGCAGTGGGAACCATGTCAGCAGGGAGCAAAGTAGTCCCTGCTGGTAAGGGGTTCCCTTCTGCGCCTCTTCCTTTTAAATGTACAAGAGCCGCAGGGAGCTCTTGTATGTTCAAAAAGGAGAAGAGCAGCAGTGGGACTGGCGTGAGTGGGACTGTTTCAGTCTCTGCTTACACTGTTTCTCTGCCCAGCCTCCCCATGTGGAGATGGTGCTGAGGGGAACCGGCTTTTAAGCTGGCTCCCCGCAGCACTGGCTCATGCCCCCTCCCCCTCGCTGCCTCTCTCTGACAGACAGCAAGGGGCAGAGGGAGCGATAAGTCGAGTTCCTACTCGACTACCCGATAAGCATTTGCTTATTGGATAGTTGACTAGTCGCTTACAACCCTAGTCTGACTGCCTAGAGTAGGCCAGCTATCAGAACCCTGCAACACCCACCAACAACTTGTATGTTGTTTACATTTTACAGAGCGCATACTTCCAGATTTCAATACACCTGACTCTTCATAAGCAGTTCACTAGCTGGATCGTGAAGAAATGCCACCTTCCTTGCTATGGCAAAACAGCGAACAAATCAGGAGTGCAATAAGAAAGCAGGTTTTACATTATTTATCACTGCCATGGGCAGAATAATAGCTGTATGAACTACTGACCTGTTCCAATACAGCAAGCCCAGTGTTTGAAAACCAATGGCTCCATGGGATTCTAACCACCACAATAATGCAGGTACTGTGGCTGGAGAAGTTTATCCCAGATTAAACTAACAACTAACTCCTTCCTCACTTTCTCCTTCCACTGTTCCAACTTCTTCTGTATTTACCTGTATTTGCTTTGTATGTTAATCAGAAAGGCAATCAGGTCAATCCGGGGCCGTATATGGTCTCTCTCAGCAGGTAAAGGAAGGGAAGTTGCCACATGGCTGAAAGACAAAAATAAGTTTGCAGGTTTACCCAAACTTAATGGAGTGATGAAACTGAATCCATTTCACTAGCCACCTTCTTAGCTAGAATGATTAGCAGGAGCAGATTTAGTACCATGCATTTATACGTAGCTGATGAGACCCGTTGCATGTTTAAGCCTATTCACAGTCATTAACAGCCACAACTGACAGTTAGTAGCTTAAACTTTGTTCCCTTCACGTTGTTTAGTGAGGCCATCTCATATGACAAGTTTTCTCCAAGATTAGTCTTGTACTCCTCCCTATGAAAGCCCAAGCAAAGTAGTAGGAGCTATGCTAGAGATCCATCTTTCAGATGAAAACACAGAAGAGGGGTTCCAACAGTCATTAGCAACAGCAAGGTTGGTTTTCCTTTTTTAAATTGTCAGAAAAAAGGTGTTAGTCCTGGTCTCCTTGATCAATTTCAAGTCTAGTAGCTGTCACGGTCCAGATATGAACTGGCTACAGAATTTACTTGTGAGCAAAATACAAAGCCATACCTGATAGAGCATTAAATAATCTTATGAGGAATACATTTGGGCTATGTCTACACGGCACAATCTTGTGCCAGAAATATGCAAATGAGGCTAAGCGCAGAATATCGCCGAGCCTCATTTGCATATCTGATGAGCTGCCATTTTTGCGGAAGAGGCTCTTGCACAAGGAGCGTCTACACTGCCCCTTCTTGCGCAAGAAAAACCCTCTTGCGCAATGCTGTTACGCTGATTATTTTCAGGAATAAGGCATTGCACAAGAGAGTTTTTCTTGAGCAAGAACGGGCAGTGTAGACGCTCCTTCTTGCGCAAGAGCCTCTTCCGCAAAAATGGCAGCTCATTAGATATGCAAATGAGGCTTGGCGATAGTCCACGCTTAGCCTCATTTGCATATTTCTGGCACAAGATCGTGCCATTGTAGACATAGCCCAAATGTATTCTTCATAAGATTATTTAATGCTCTATCAGGTATGACTTTGTTTAATTTAAACAAGATTTTTATGTACAACACATATAATAGCTGAACACTGTAATTCATTTTGTCCGTTACAATAAGTATATTTTATTGGCCTAAAATATCTCATTTATTTACAGTTAAATGAAGAACTGTACTTCTGTGGCAACATTGCATGTATGTAGGACACGGTCAGTAAATAGCACATTGCATTCTACATCAGACTCTATCCAGTAAAGTACCTTAGGTTCTGTAAAGCTGTAGTATATTTTAGATATAGTATATTTTATCTCCTGTGTATTACGGAGGGAGGGTAGCATCTTCCCAGTTAAAACTTTTAACCCAGCTCCCTCCAGTGTGTTTAATGATAACCAAACCCTGCAATGCTCAAAAAGTGATCTTTTCTGCTTCCAATACGGTCTGCTTTATGTGTGTCTCTCCCGCCACAACACAGACACACACACACACACACACACACACACACACAAGATTTTGAAAGAAAAATGGAAGCCATTTCAGAGATATGAGAGTTTAAAAGTTGGGGATGAAAATTATATCTGGAAAATACTTTTATTTGTAACACTATTTGTCAAAATGATTTGGCCTAAAAACTTCAGATGAGTTTTATGAAAAAGTTCAGAGTCCGATCTTGTGCCTTTTATTATGTTTAAGAAGCAAAGCTGCATATTTTGGAGGTTTTCCATGACTTAGAGTTAGTAAGGTCTGGAGGTCCCCAGTCCAGTTGATGAAATCTGGCAAACCTTGCACCTTTCTAACACTTAAAACTTATAGATAGACCCTCTGGACGTATACAACATTTGTATCCACAAAAATGAGCTGTAGATACCAGTGACTATAAAGTGGATATCCATGATTTTGCAGACCTCTACTTATAGGTATTTGTTAGGCAAAGCATAAGTATAAAGTTAAGGTAGTAATGCAGTGGTCTCACAGGCTTTGATGCTTGTAGGACAGTAGCTTTGCAAAACTAATTAGGGCATAAGGCCCCAAAAGCTTAAAGCATAAATAGCTAACAAAGACCAACCCTCGATCATAAACTATCACAAGACAGACTGTGGTAATAACTAAACTACTGATAGGTAACCACAAGAGATTAGTTGATATCAGCTTGGGATATTTTAAGCTAGAGATATCAGCAGATGTCTGACCACAAGGTTCCATGTAACCTGGCTGTGACCCTGGTGTACGTGCCTGGGAAGATGTCAGGATGATGATGATGGTCGTCATCATAAGGGGGAAGAGGATACCTAAAACTTCAGGTTGTTCTGCAAGGGAGGATATAAGATAAGGATGCTCCACACATTCTATATTAGATCTACCTACCTCACCTGGTTGGAGTGCTTGTGATTTTGCTGAAGTGTTAATTAGACTATTAGAAACACGGAAAGTATTTTTTACGTGTGAATGTCATCATTGCCAGGCACATGGAGGCTCCCAGTTCAACAGTAATTCTGATAATGTTCAGTTTGACCTTGGGACAAAAATCTATCAAGTTTCAGAATGCTAATTGTGGAAACTAATCAGTAATATTATAATAAACCTACAATCAACAGATTATAAATGCACTTGCTAGTGGATTTGAATGGTCCAAAAACAATCACAAAAACAAAATTCATATCCACAAAAATGAGCTGTGGATACCCGTGGCTATAAAGCGGATACCCATGTTTTTGCAGACCTCTACTTATAGGTATTTACTACGCAAGGCATAAGTATAAAGTTAAGGTGTTCCTGTGGACAATTATGACGTTTTAAGATCATCAGTGGTGTTGTAGCGAGAGAAATACACACTCCTCCCAAAAAACAAGGTTAACGCATTTGCTCCTGTTGATATTTGAGCCAAAGCCATTACATTAGTAACAAGGGGATTCCTAGACAAAAGTTAAAATTCCAAGTGCAAATCAATAACGTGAGGAGAGATAACATACATAAAAGGGTGAATCTAGGAAAAGAATCACAGCTATTGGACATTTTACAAGGATACTTCAAAGCTAACTCACAGACTGTGCTTTTGTGCAAGATCGCACCAATGTAGACACAGCCAAAGAAAAAAATTCTACTTAGATGCTTGTATTGCACTCAGCGCTTATCTCTAAGCACCTGTGCTACACAGGGGCTGTGTCTAGACTGGCAAGTTTTTGCGCAAAATCAGCTACTTTTGCACAAAATCTTGCCGCCTGTCTACACTGGCTGTGAGTATTTGCGCAAGAACACTGACTTTGTACTGTACAAAATCAGTGGTTCTTGCGCAAGTACTCTGACACTCCTGCTCAGGGATAAGCCCTCTTGCGCAATAAAAGCATTCGCGCAAAATCATACCAGTCTAGACACAGCCATGGGCTATAGCTACACAGTAGCTAGGAATAGTGAGGGCAGACAGACTTGTGCTAGCACACTAAAACTAGCAGCATGGATATCATGGCACAGGTTGTGACTCTGAATAGGCACCCAAGTTTAGTCCCAGGTGGCTGTCACCACACTGCTACTTTTAGTGTGCTAGCTTGAGCAGAGATAATGCAGGTCTTTCTGCGCACATCAGGAGGCATGTTCCCAGCTGCAGGATAAACAGTTCCACAGAGGGCTCACCAATGCACATTATCCATTTCTTGCAACACCTCAATTTAACGTCATCTGCCGTATATACACAATATTGCATCCACAAGCCTATCTGACCAGATATCAATATGAGGGAGAACCTAGAACATAAAAAAAAAGGCACAAAAAACTTGGCAAAGAATAATTTCAGAACTGAATTGGGGAAATTTTTGCTCCACCCTTTCCAATCACTTACATGTTTATCTTGAAGGTTTTTTTCTCCTTAAGAATTGCCTCTGCTAGCTGTTGCTGCTGCTTTTCATCAGTGCCCACCAACTGGTCAGGAAGGGAAAATAACTTGTAAATGCAACCAGAAGACTGAGGGAAGTCACTAATTAGCACCCTTTGCTTTGAAAAGTCCCAGGGTAGGTTATGAACTACAGGGCTCAGGGAAATCAGTTCACACTCAGTCAATACCCCAAAGGCACACCACAAAATGAGGGAGAGATTGCAGCCACCTAGCCCTATTTGAGTCTGCACCTGTCAGACCCCAGAGCACATGTGCCCAGTTGTACAGAATAGAGATCTGAACAGGTAATGGGTTACCCAGGAAGCATCACCCTTAACAAATGTTTATCACTGGCAAGTAACAGTTAACTTTTATCTGGTAGCAGCCTGCTACAGGAAAGGGCTACCGGCTCCCAGGCCACTCAGAAGCAGCTGGACTGGAGCAGCTCCTGCCTGCTGGAGTGACTCCCATACCCACGCCCATTTAATCAGTTAGGTAATTAAATGGGATTTGACATCCTTAGTGCAGAACTCACAGGCCCCCGCACCAGGGTAAGACCTGGCAAAGATTTAGGGGCAAAGATTTAAGGAAAGCAGAAACAGCCGGGGGGGGGGCAGTGTTGTAGCCCAGCAGAGCAAGGTGCCCTCGCTAGCACCTCACCCCACATGCATGGGCTGGGGCTCAGGGACCAGCCCCACCAACCAGCCCCTGCTCAGGTAGTGACCAGACATGACTCTGCTTAGCCAGAGGGCGGGGCAAACAAGCCTATTTGCATAAGGAAATCAGCCCACCAATCAGAATGCGGGGCGGGGTCAAAGCCGCTGGTGGGTTGATTGGCAGCAGGATTCAGTTGTCGAGCGGGAGGCGGCAGGGGCTGGGCCCCGGCGGGAAAGGGACGAGACGCGGATTCCTCGTAGACCTACCAAGAGGGCGGCTGAATTGAGCGTCGGAAGTTTGTCGAAGGGCCTCACCAGCGACATCGCAGCGGAGCGCCGCGCGACACCCAACGCGCCAGGATTTCAAACCGCCGCCACGTTCTGCGTCCTCACCGCTCCGTCGTGAGACGCACACACCGCGGCGTATGCTGGGCGGAGTCACCGCGCGCCACTGCGCATGTGCGCCTCTGGGGCCGGGAAAGAGCGCGAGATTCTGTCTCGCGGCGCGAGATGGGCAGCAGTGCGCGTCACTCTCTTTCCCCATCCCCGCGTGCTGCGTTGCGCTCTGACGTGCCGCGGGGCTGCTCGTGCCCCTGCCTGAGTCCAGACGCGCGTGAGGCAAAGCGCGTGACCCCGCCCTGGAGCCAGCGCGGGCTCTTCTCGTCGGGGCTTGTCAGCACCTGCCCAGCGCTGTCAGGGCGATGAGAGCGCGAGGCCAGTGGCCTGGCGGGTGATGGGGCAGCGAGCAGCACTTTAACCTCGGCCAGGTACGAGCCTGGGCTTGTGCTTGCCCAGCCCCCCATCAGCTGCCCTGTGTTTTAAAATGGCCCAGGGCTCCGGGCTGCAGCTACTGCAGCAGCAGCCTCCCCCTCCCTTCAAATCCCTGCTGAGTCTTCCAGCTGGCACCGCCACAGTCCCAGAATCCCTGGCCCAGAGGCAGCCAAGAAGGGCTAACTGGGGGAGTCTGGTTCCCATCCCCCCCTTAAGGAGACTCAGACACCCCCCCCCCACACACACACACATACACACATTCCACTTTGCCCAGGCTGCATAAATTAGTAGCAAGTCCACCCTTCCACTCGGAGGCTGGAAAGTAAACTCACCCCGCAGCAGTGGTTCCTGTCCCATGGTTCTGACCTGGCTCTCCACTGCAGCTTCTTGGCTCTTGCCACAGCAGCAGGGGATGCATGCATCTGTGCAGGTGAGGCTTTCACTTTGCAGTGCCCTGTGACTTTCTGAGACCTGATGTCACTGGGTTGCCTGTCCCAAGTAGAGCTGTCATGGGCCAAATAAAATTATCTGACTGGTCTGATGCAGCCTTATGGCGATTAGTTCATCTCTGAATTAACCTTTCATTAGGATACCATGGCATTAGTCATACATAGTGGTAACTCAGTTTGGATGTTCATAATAATAAATAATACTTTGCAGGTCTATAATAGATGTTTTCTATACATGTACTACAGCACACTTTAATAGAGATGTCTGGTGTTTATAACACTACACAGATATTAACTAACTAATGGGGTGGATAGATGGATGAGTATCATCTATATTTTCAGAAGAGGAAACAAACACAGACTAATGCTCACAGAGGAAAATAAGAGTTTAAAAAAACGGTCTTAGGCAAGAAGGGGAAGGAGTTACACACCAGTGGTGTGCTGTATATAGAAGGCTTGCCTGTCTACATGCCTGAGCAGCTGTATGTTGTCCAAGTGAGCACTCAAAATGACTCTGTCAAGTCCCCATTTGTAGAACAAAATGACATCCATGCAGTGTGACCTCAGCTTGTATGTGACTGTATGTGAGGTCATGCTACATGGAGGATATTATTTTGGATTGCCTAAACATGAGTTTTTGCATGCCTTCCAAAACTGTCCCAATACACCACTGCTATCTGTAAACTGTCATTTTATCACTATCAAAATTCAAGCTGCCTTTGGGATGAAATACAAAAGATGCTTAATGGCATACAACAACACTACTTAATAAATGAGATGGAAAATTAATGTTTTCCAGTCCCCTTCCTTGATACCTGTAGGTCAAAGTCTCAGTGCAGTGCTTAGGCATTGACTGATACTGACCCAGAGACAAATGATCCTAGTTGTTTGCCAGCACCAATAAAGAGGAATAGACTGATCAGAGAACTGAGACAGAAACTCATTAGCTGTAATCTGCACTCTTACATTGATTCCCTTTGTGACTTTCAGTAGGTCACTTAACCTCTCTGTGCCTCAGTTTTCCATCAGTAAAATGGGTTATGGTCCCTACCTGTCTCCTAAAACTGCTGGATTTCCCCTGGAGTACTCCTATTTACTTACTACCTGGGTGTCATGTTCTTTTGCCTACAGTATCACTGTATCGGTTAGTTTACTTAACACTTTGAAAATATAAAATGAGATTATAATAGGAAGAGGCACCTGACAGTTGAACACCCTTGGAGACACTGCCACCCTTCTTTGATTTCAAGGTATATAACTGCAATCTGTCTTGCTGTAGCTATTGTTGCTTGACTGCACTGCATGCAAGTCTGGTGCACTAGCTCCATGCAGAGGTAGCTTGAATTGTGTATAAAGTTAGCAGTTTTGTTCTTGCTGGGATTGCGTCATTGCCTGAGCTTTAACTATAACATCTCATAATAGGGAATATGTGTGTATGTCTGGGGGACAGAGAAAGGCTAAGAAGGCTAAAGAACAATGTCATGGACTAAAGAAGACAGTGTGGACAGGGCTGCAGGCCATACCTCTCCATGTCCTCTGCTGAGTGCTCATAAGAGAAGCAGGGTGGCTGTGATAATATAGTCTGACATCATATGGCTTGGATGCCTGGTTTGATCCTGACAAAAGCAGACAGCTCAGCTCATTGTTAACATTAGGCAAATTGCAGGTGAAGCAGAAGAGAACAGAGGATATGTATGGTTCCTGTCAGATTCAGCTGGGAGGGCAAGTCCAAGACTGGCATGTTCCAAAGGTTTGAGGCAGACAGAAGCATTAAATAACTAGAGGCTGCTATTTGGGGGTGGAGTGAGACGACAAAGGTTCTTTTATTTGCTGAAGAAATGAAAATGTGGTAAAAGAGGCAGCACCAAGTCAATAAGATAGATGATTCTCTTCCACCCGCCTCCCCTCAGCCCACTCTTCCCCTCCCCTGCTCTCTGGGTTGAAGGAGAGAAAGCTGTAGCTAGGGATGAGGTCATTGCACAGTATAAGACATGCTCACTGGCTCCATTCCACTTGTCACTGCAGGCATTTCAAATCAGTGGCGCGGGAACATTTTTAAAAGTGGTGATGCTGAGCCCCCTACCAGCTGAGGCTGAGAAGAAAGCAAAGGGTTCTTGATTGCTGGGGATCTGCTGCCCACCTGGCACACTGGACTCTAACTAGAACCACAACATGTGGGACTGGCAGCAGCCGAGAATCCTGTGTGGGGGAAGAGGCCAGCAGCAGGAACCCTTGGTGCTAAACTGGGAGCCTGGAGGTGCTTCAGCACATCCTGTATCCCTAGTTCCAGCACCTAAGTTTCAAACATCCCTAATGTAACACGTGAATCTCAGTCTTCAAGAAATTCAGTTTAGATTAACCATTTGATTCCACTTTATCTTGCTTCCACAGTTATCTAACTATCCATACTAGGCATTTTTACTCTGTTCATTACCATGGCATCTGAATACAGTGGCACCATCTGCATGGGCACTTCAACACATTATTCTGTATAGATGAGAGCCCTTCCTATACTTGTATAAAGAGAGGAGTAATCTGATAACAGCTAGGCTTCCCATCCAATCTCCATTTTTATTAAGTCCCTTCAGATCCTTGTACTGAGATCTCAACCCTATCTTCTCATGAGGTAAGAGGAATTCATTCTCCATTCTCCTTGTTTGCACATTTCTCTGCCAAATCCCCACATTTTAATTGAGGAGGTTCACCCTCCTTAGCACTCATTAATTCAGGGCAGTTCTGAAGTGCTCCATGTTTCTCTGCTATGACTGCCAAATAATTCACAGAAGTGGTAGAAGTGCTCCATGTTTCTCTGCTATGACTGCCAAATAGTTCACAGAAGTGGTATTCTTCTTTAATCCTGTGGCTGCTTTGTATCTTCTTATTGAACATGTGCTACACAATCTGGGGCACTGGAAGAAGGGTAAATTAAACTCTTGAATAACAGTTATGAATGGAACAAAGTATTCAAACAAAAGCAAATTTATTTTACGATATTTTTTGAGTGAAGGAGGAATGCTGCCTCAGAACAATAATTTCATAGTGAACCTATTTCCATCGATTTTACGATATTTTTTGAGTGAAGGAGGAATGGTGCCTCAGAACAATCATTTCATAGTGAACCTATTTCCATGGGTATGAAGAGGTGTAAAGCAGTGGAGAATTAGTCCCAATACCTGCTGTAATATTTATAGTGGGGTCAAGGAAATGTTAAATTCACCCAAATCAGTATGGTAGCATTTGACATTCACAGCACAAGTGTAAATGATGGCACAAGAGGCAATGCAATGAATCAGTTCTGCTAGGAATATCAGCTCACTAACAAGAGGAAAGCTGTCAAGGAGAAGGATGAATTTGTGTTCAACAGTTCAGATTTCTCTAATTAGTTTCCTTGTTTAAAACTCTAGGAGCATCCAAGATCACTCCACTTAAACACTGGCATATTTGATTTGTGATACGCTGATATTTACAGAAGGCTAACCAATCCATAGGGAAATCAATTATGCTGAAACTATTGGTATTGAAGGACAAGTATTTTTTGTGACTGTTACTAGAGCTCCACCTGCTTGTAAATTTAAAGCTCATCTAATTTTGCAAACCTTTGTCCCTCTGCTAACTGATCTTGGACTTCAGCAACAGGATATTAGTTCACATGGCTTGTTACCTTAGCTCTGCAAATGCAGATAGTGCCATCCTGTTTATGAAGATGCACAATAAATGCTACTCATTCTGAAAATTGAACAGGTTATAGGACATCTTGGTTAACCACATTTTCTTCGTGTTTTTCAACGTAAGACAGGTATCATTTTAGCATGACGTAAGTACATCTTTATCAAACCCAGCCTATGGCCATCAACATGTTTTCCACTTACCTCTCTTATGAACACTGGGGCTGCATCTAGACTGGCAAGATTTTATCTTGCTGCCTGTCTACACTGGCTGCGAGTATTTGCACAAGAACACTGACTTTGTACTGTACAAAATCAGTGCTTCTTGCGCAAATACTCTGATGCTCCCACTCAGGGATAAGCCCTCTTGTGCAAGTATCCGTGCGCAAGAGGGCCAGTGTAGACAGCAAGTTAATTCCTTGCGCAAGAAAGCCTGAGGGCTAAAATGGCCATCGGAACTTTCTTGCGCAAGAGAGCGTCTACACTGACACAGATGCTTTTGCGCAAAAGATGTGCTTTGCGCAAAAGCATCCGTGCCAGTGTAGACGCTCTCTTGCGCAAATACTTTTAACGGAAAAACT